AATATTGAAAGTGCCATAGGCTGCCAAAAGAACCAATAGATTCATTTTGGAAGAAGTGCAGCCAGAGTGCTCCTTAGAGGCCAAGATGGCCAAACTTCCTCTCACATACTTCGGACATATTGTCAGGAGGGAACAGTAGCTGAAGAAGGATATCATGTTTGGTAAGGTGGAGGGTCAGAGAAAAAGAGGAAGACCCCAGTGAGATGGATTGGCCAAGTGGCAGCAATGATGGACTCAAGCATGGCAACAGTAGTGGGGTTGGCCCAGGATCGGGTAGTGTTTCATTCTGCTGTGCGTAAGGTTGCTAAGGGTTGGTACCAACTCAAAGGCACCTAACAACATCAACAACAACAACTTTGGGTCTCATTTTCTTATGAGAACACACATTTTGTTTGTTTTTTTCCTTCTCTGGCCCAACAAAAGCAGCAAGGTAGCCTCTTCTTGAAAGCCACCTGGACCTTCCTCTGTGGCAGAGAAAGAAACTCTGGAAAGCAAGAAACATGTTTCACCCTAACGCTTGCTCCTAATTTCAGTGTTTAGGATATACCATTCTTCTTCCTATTTTTCACTTTTCATTGTAGTTTGAGTGAAAATTTACAGAGCAAACTAATTTTCCAGTCAATAATTTACACACAGTTTGTTCCGTGACATTGGTTGCGATCCCTGTAATGTCACAGCACTCTTCCCACTTCCTCTCTGGTTTCCCATTTCCGTTTGTTCTTCTTTCCTGCCTTCTGAGCTGTGTTTTGGGGCAAATGCTGCCCTTTTGGTCTTGTATAGATTATTGTTTGGAGAAACACGTTCCTCACGGGCATTTTTGTTCACTTTATAGACCTGTCTGTTATTTGTCTAAAAGATGATCTCCAAGGGTGAGTTTTGGATCCAGGCTTGAAAGGTGCCTTAGGACCACATTCTCTGGGGTTTCACTAGTCTCTATCAAACCAGTAAGTCTGGTCTTTTTTTTTTTTATGATTTAAAATTTTCTATATATTTTTTTCTTCCTGTCCAGAACTTTGTCCTGTGATCCTGATTGGAGTAGCAGCAGGAGAAGCCGGGCACCATCTAGTTCTCTTGGTCTCAGAGCAGTGGAGGCTGTGGTGTGCAAGGTCCATGGTCCATTAATCATTTGATCACATTGTTTAGAATAACATCCAACTAGGCTGCTGACATTTTAGCAGCCATAGGAGGGAAGAAAGAAAATCTACTGAGGAAAAGACCAATGCGTAACATTTCTTCTCATGCATCACCTGAAGTTTTTGTTGTTTTTGTTGTTTTTAATTCGGATTTCTAGAACCCAGGCTTATTCAATCTGTATATTTGGAAGCTAGGAACTTTTGGGCCTAGAAATCTGACTTTTATATATACTGAAGTTTGAGAATCAGGAATTTCCTGTGGAGAGAGGATTCCTACTGAATAGACAATTTCTAAAACTCAGCCCTTAATGTGATAAGCCAAGTACCATGCCTGGTCCTTGATGTGGAATGGAAAGGAGTGGAGCTCTCTTGAGACTCTACTGAGGACTTAAATTGGATTGCTTTCTCTTCCTTTGGTGTTAGACCAATATACTACATCATTGTCTCTAAGTCAACACATCCCAAATGGAACTCATTTTCTTTTCCTACATACCTGTACCTCTTCCTGCAGTTCTTTTATTTCTATGAGGGTCACCACCATTCACCGAGCTATTTAAGTTAGAAACTTGGAGGCTGAGGACCAAATGGATGAAAGGACATAATACCCCTCATCGTAATCAGATTTAACTAACATTTGGTTAGCGTGTTAAATTAGCTTTTCAGCTTGGCTGGGCAATGATTCTCAGTGGTTTGGTAGTTATGGAGTGATGTAGTCATCCCCCATCATGTGGTCTGACATATTAGTAATGTTATCACCTACATAATGAGATCTGCTATGAGCAGCCATTCAATTCGAAGTGAGTTTCCTTAGGAGTGTGGCCTGTAACCACTATATATGGATGTTCTGGCCAAACTCTTTGGCTTTTTGCTCACTCTGGGCTCTGATTCATTATCATCTGACTGTCAGGTTTTTTGGGCCTTGAGCCAGCAGCCTGCTCTCTTACCTGCTCATATTGGATTCATCAGTCTCTGTAGCCCAGAAGCCAGCAGGCTTTCATGTTACTTGCTGATCTTGTGAGCCATTTCCTTGAGCGAAATCTATCTATCTATCTATCTATCTATCTATCTATCTATCTATCTATCTATCTATCTATCTATCTATTTATCTATCTATCTATTCCACATACACACACATAAGCTTCACTGGTTTTACTTCCCTATAGAACTCAGTCTAAAAAAGTAGCTTACAGATATCATTTAAAGATCATATCGATAATAAATTATTAAGCTATATATTTGCACCTAGTCCTTCTGAGGTAAATTCCTTGCTCTTTCTTCCAATCGGTGCTGTTTTTCCATAAAGAATGGAAGAAGAGTAGTCCTACTCATGAGCACAGCCCTTGAACAGAGTTGTCACAAAGAAGGGACAGCTTGCCCTGCCTCAATTCAGGAGCACACCCAATATCAATTAGTGGCTTCTGCAGAGAAGTACAGATGTCAATCCAATTGACACACCCAATATCAATTAGTGGCTTCTGCAGAGAAGTACAGATGTCAATCCAATTGAGGAAAAGTTTATTAGTTACAGTTGGCCCATTGTAGTGAGCTGTTCATGCCACATTACTGGATGGAATGTTCCTGATGTTCATAATTGTAACCCTTATAAAGTCATCCACAAAACCCAGTTTCATAATGCCATGTTCCAAGAAAGAATTCAGCAAACAAAAACTCTAAAATGAGTTATCAGCATTCTTACATGGTCTGTAGCAATATTTCTTAACTACATCTCTCTTTTCTTTCTTATCCATGTCATGTAATCCCTCAGTTACTTCTACTCAATTCTCCCACAAAACTCCCTCAACCCTACCTCTTTCTCTTCCCATTTTCCTCTGAATTCTTTACCAATAAAGCTCTAATCTGTCTTTTTGGAGGGGTGGGAATGAGGAGCAGTTTGTGATGGAGGTTCCTATGGGAACCTAGTGAATGAATTCCTTCTGGGTGACAGGCTTGGGCAGTGGTGAAAGACTCATCCTGCTCTCCCTCACTTCCCACATCTAATCTCAACATAATGGTTGAGGTCAGATATACTGTATGTGAGTGCCTATCACTGGTGCTCCATGAATTGGAGTCTGGATGTGGTGCTGTAGGAAAAGCACCGGACAGCAAGGCTGATTTAAACACAAGGTTGGTGGTTCAAACACACCACCCACTCCTTGGAAACCCTATACAGGGTCATCATGAATCGAAATTGACTCAGTGGCACTTAACAACAACAACAACAACATACAGCCCATGGACCAGACATTTCTCCACCCATGAGCTAGATTCATTTTAGACAAATCCTTCTAAAATATTTTTAGAAGGCAAATTTGACCATTCCCCTGTTTCCAAGTGTCCTCAATTTAATCTAAGCTCTTAATTCTAATATGTGAGGCACTTCCTTTGGGCTTCTGTGACCTCTCTAGCCTCATCTACAGCAGTACATTTCTAAACATCTCAATTTCTACAAGTTCCCTGATGCCTTCTGTGACTCTTTTTGAGTATTTGCAGGGGCTTGCTCTCTGCTCGGGATGCCATTCTCTCCCTTTAGCCACTTAATACCCACATGTGTTTCAGTATTAATTCCTCCTGGAAGTATCACCTCCTCCCTAGAGAATCTTTTCTTTATCTCCAATAAAGCACTCCATTATATACCAAATAGATTTCTACTTTCAAGCTTGTATGCATTCATTCTCTCTTCTGCCCAATGGGCACTGCTTGTGGCCAGGGCCTCTATCTTCTGTAATCACTTGGCAACACAGGATTGCACCCACTTCCTGCTTAGTAAATGTTGGATTAATGGATGAGATTGCTGTTGATACGCTTAAGTACTTTAAAGAGGCCTGGTGCATTGGTGTCGGACAGATTTGGGTTAAAATTTCAGCACAGACACACTTCAACCGTTGGCTCTTGGACAAGTCATTTGAAGTTGGAGCCTCTGGTTCCTTAGCTCTGTGTATCTTCCAGAATTCTTTTGAAATTACCTATGTGAGGGGTCTAGTACAGTGCTTGGTTTACTATACTGCTGTTGTTAAGTACTGTCTAGTTGGTTTGACTCCTAGTAACCCTCATAGCAACCTTCATAGGAGTGGTTTGTGAGTTTGAAACACCAACATTGTAGTTAGTAATCTAGTGCTTTTCCTACAACACCACACCATGACTCCAGTTTCCTATTTAATTAAGTGCCATTGAGTTGATTCTGACTCCTGGAGACTGTATAGCGCTTCTGAGGAGAAGCTGGTAGGTTTGAACTGCTGACCTTGTGATTCACAATCCAGTGCTGATCTTATCATGCCACACTATTCTCTTGGTCAAGAAGCAGAGGAGGAGAAGGTACTCAGTGACAAGTTAGGAGTAAAGATGGAGAGGGGGCTGAAGCTTCTGAGACCACAGAATGCTTGGATTTCTAAAACTCTATTGACCACTGCTCAATCCTGTAGCAACTTAAATTGGAGTGGGAGTGGGGGGGGGGGGGGTGCAGAGAACAGAGCAAAGGCCCACCACTGCTGAGCACTTCCCCCAGTTGCCTGAATGGACCAGCCTTAGTGACATCACAATCCTGGATGGTTGCTAAGGCACTGCTGGCAGTAAGCCTTCTCATTTCTGCCTACAGAGCTCTGGGATGTGGATGTGAGGAGGAGAGCAAAGAAGGCAGATGGCAACAAAGAACAACCCTAGCCCCATGCCCATGGGCACGGCTCAGGGTGACCCCGGAGAGGCTGGAGCACTGTCAGCTTCTGATGTTAGCATCCGGGACACAGGTTCAGCCATGCAGCTGAAGGTGAAGCCCAGGAAGGTGCGTAAGATCAAGGCTCTCATCATCGATCTGGGCTCTCAATACTGTAAGTGTGGCTATGGGGGAGAGCCGAGGCCCACCTACTTCATCTCCTCCACTGTGGGCAAGCGCTGCCCTGAGGCAGCCCAAGCGGGCGACACCAGCAAGGAGACCTATGTGGGTCACGAGCTGCTCAACACCGAGGTGCCGGTCAAGCTGGTTAACCCCCTAAAGCATGGCATCGTGGTGGACTGGGACTGTGTCCAGAACATCTGGGAGTACATCTTCCACACAGCCATGAAGGTTCTCCCGGAGGAGCATGCTGTGCTGGTCTCCGACCCTCCGTTCAGCCCCATCAGCAACCGGGAGAAGTATGCAGAGCTCCTGTTCGAGACCTTCAGCATCCCCGCCATGCATGTAACATCCCAGGCACTGTTGTCCATTTATTCCTATGGCAAGACCTCAGGGCTGGTGGTGGAGAGTGGGCATGGCGTCTCGAACGTTGTGCCCATCTCAGAGGGCGATGTGCTGCCGGGCCTGACCATGCGCACCGACTATGCTGGGAGCAACCTCACCAACTACCTGATGCAGCTGCTCAATGAGTCGGGCCACAAGTTCTCAGATGACCACCTACACATCGTGGAACATATCAAGAAGAAGTGCTGCTACTCGGCGCTCATTCCTGATGAGGAGCTTCGCCTGCCCCTGGAGGAACTGCGTGTTGACTACAAACTCCCAGATGGCGAACTCATCACCATTGGCCAGGAACGCTTCCGGTGCTCGGAGATGCTCTTTAAGCCCTCCCTGGTGGGCTGTAGCCAGCCGGGTCTCCCTGCACTGACGGCTGCCTGCCTGGGCCACTGCCAGGAAGCAGGTTTCAAGGAGGAGATGGCTGCTAACGTGCTGCTGTGTGGGGGCTGCACCATGCTAGAGGGCTTCCCTGAGCGCTTCCAGAGGGAGCTGAGCCTCCTCTGTCCTGGTGACAGTCTAGCTGTGGCTGCCGCTCCGGAGAGGAAGACCTCCGTGTGGACCGGAGGCTCCATCCTAGCCTCCCTGCAGGCCTTCCAGCAGCTCTGGGTCAGCAAGGAAGAGTTCCAGGAGCGAGGCAGTGCCGCCATCTACAGCAAGTGCTAAGCAGCAGTGCCCTGACCAGGAAAGCCTCGTGGGCAGGCCGCCACAGTCCACTGTATACACATTTACAAAATTTCACATAAAACTTTAACTTGCATTGTCTCTTGTGTAGTCTGCATTTCTTGCTTCCATCGGATAGCATAGGGCAAGGGGGAGTTGGGTTGAGAAGTATCCACACTCTGTTGGGGTAGGAATGTGGACACACTGACCCCTTCCCCTTTATATTCTCTCAGGACCTGACCCCATGTCAAACCCAAGATGCCACAGTGTTCCATTAGCTACTCAAGGTTCAAAACCAGATACAACCATCATTCCACATTGCTTGCTTACTGACTGGGCAAAGAAATGAAAGTTCACAGATTAAGGACACACAACCAGGTGTCTGATTTCAGTATCTTCTTCCTCTCCTGCTACAACTTTGTCATTGCTTGATGACCCCAGGTCTCCTGACCCACCCAGGTCATACTTATTTCCAGAAGGAGAAATGCGGTTTTTAGTCAGCAAGTCTACTTACTAAGCATCTAGTACGGGCAAGTCCAGAACTGATGACCGAGGAATGACTCGAACACAGTCTCTTCTCTTGGGCTTACAGATAGCTAGTGGTGAATTTAGTGGACAGCCACACAGGTTGATAAGGCCGAACTCAGGGTTCTTGAAGGTGGGAAGGAGAAGGTGGTATATTGGCATGGAGCTGAGGGAGTGTCAAGGTTTTCTCAGCTGGTGGATGGCTCTCTACCTAGAAAGGAGTTCCTGTTCCCTTTTCCACCCTCACTTACTGATAAGCACTGGACTGCTAACTGCAAGGTCAGTGGTTCAAACCCACCAGCCATACCTCAGAGACTCTATACAGGATTGTTATGAGTCACACTGACTCCACAGCACATAACAACTTCCTGATGGATCCATGACCAGTTGCCCATCTATCTCAGACATTGGTAAACTGTGGAATCATAGATGGGATAGCAAATGTCCTGTCTGAACACAGAGTCCAGATTTGGGGCACTCCCTGAGACTATCTCTGTCTGCCCTGGGCCTTATTCTGGGCTGCAGACAAGGGAAAAACCAGCCTCTATCCCTTAATGTCCTGCCATCTCATTTTCCATTGCCTAGAATTGGGTTGTTAGTGTGGAGTTTGAGAAGTTCTCAACTGTCAGAGACTTGGCGCAACCCAAGGATTTTGGGTTTCCTCCTGTGTAGAGAGGCTGTGGAATGGGAACCTATTGGCTGAAGGTGGCTAGTAGACAAGATTTTTGGTTAGCACAGTATATAATTTTTTTTCTTGAATGAAAATTCTTTCAGTGGAGTCTACCTTTTTCAAGTTGCCAAAGTCCTTACCATTCTGATGTCTTCTTATATACTTGTTGCTTCAGTAAAACTTTTAATACATTGGCCAGCATTTGTTTCTGTTGTTTGCAACCCAAGAAGCATGACTGATTGATCTGATCCTAAAGACTCACTGAGATAGGGAAATCGAGGCTTTATAGAGGGAAAGTTACGAGCCCATCATCATACAGGAAGTTAATGCTGACATGTGAACACTCTTCCACATGCCAGTTTTGATGCTCTCTGAACACCATGTCTGTGACTATTCCCCACTCCACCAAGCTCCTCTACCTCAGCGACTTCTCGTCTAGTCACTGCCTCATTGTCCTCATTGCCAGGTCATTGTCCTCTGGAAGCAGCCCTTATGTGGTTGGGTCTGTTATTGTTGTTGTTAAATGTCGCTGAGTTGGTTCTGTCTTACAGCGACTCTGTATAGGGTTTCTGAGGAGCGTCTCACGAGTTCGAACTGCCAACCTTGTGGCTCAAACCAACCTTGTGGTTGAGCACTTATCCTACAGCACCACACCAGGACTCCATTTTGCCCATGGAATCCTTCAATATTGCAAGTCAAGGATTACATTTTTTCTTCAGTTCTTTAACTTAAGAAATGTTTAACATGTTCTTCCCTTTTGGTTTTCTAACTCCAGGTCTTTGAACATTTCATTACAATACTTGACTTTGTGTCTCAGGCTGTCCTTTGAAATATTCTGTTTAGCTCTTTAACCTCCTCATTTCTTCTTTTCACTTTAACATCTCTATGCTGGAGAACAAGTTTCAGAGTCTCTTCCAACATTCATTTTGGTCTTTTCTTTCTTTCTTGTCTTCTTAATGACCTTTTGCTTTCTTCCTGTATGATGTTCCTAATGTCATCCCACAACTCGTCTGATCTTCAGTTAGTAGTTTCTAATACATCAAAACAATTCCACGACTCGTAACTAAATATATATATATATAAATAATGGTCTATTGACCATTATCCTATATTCTTTTGTTTAGATACTTGTCCCTGGGGTTAGACTGGGCTTCTTGAAGAAAGGAACTGTATCTGTTCATCTTTTTTCTCAGACTCTAGGACACGGTATGGCACAGAATCAGTGATTTAACACCTGCCAACCGATTTGACTTGTCCCCAGCTTGTGGAAGCAGTTACAGGTATTTTTTCCCCCATTTTACAGATGAGGATACTGAGACTTGGAGGGTTTTAAGAGCCTTTGTCCTGGTAAATCAAAGTCTTGTGCAAAATCAAAATTTCATGATTCAAAATCTAATGCTTTTTTGCTAGTCTCCTGCCTCTCTGCATATTATTAATCAATGTTGTTTTCAAGGTAAAATATATATAATTGCTTTCAAGTAAAAAAGAATGAATGTTATATCATTTCATAACCCCCAGTTTTTGTTACAAAACTTCTACAATTGTGACAGTTGCCAATTAGTCATGATAACAATTACTCACTATTGAATCATAAGAATCTTATCCCCATCTCTTTTTACCAGACCCATCTAGACAAGATGAAAACTATTCAGTGGGGACTCTTTCTTCCCCAAAACACTCAAACTAAACTCCCTCTTGAAACCTTGTAAGCTACTCACTCCATGCCTTTATCGCCCCCTCATTTTAGGTAGCCAATGTCTAAGTTGCCCGTCACTCTTTACCCTGTATACAGAGGGGATAGATAGCATTGATACTTGATGTGAAGACTCCTTCCCTCTCAATTGGTATTTTGAGCTACTAACTCATAGGTCAAGTTCATCATATTGTAGCAATTTACCCTTGTTTCCTTTATCAAAAATTGTTTTATTTTTTATCTTCCTCTATCTCGAGTTCTGATTATCAAAAGCCATGGAGGCTAGGTCAGACGGGTACTATCTACAAGTTTGAGCGTTCTTGTGTGTTTCCTGGAGGCAAAATTCGTGTGTCAACTTTGTGGTTCTCAAGTTTTGTTACATATTAGAATCACCTGCAGAGCTTTTAAAACTCAATACCAAGGATTTCTTGTTGCAACTGATGAAGTAGCACTATTCTGCTAGTCCTAATAATGAAAAACCCTTGACCATACAACAAGTTAGCATTGGAAGATTTAGATAGATGAAGGAAGGTGGCAAATTGCTTGAGACTGGAGGTGAGTTCCATGGGTTGCCTTGGTGCTGCTGAAGAACTCTGACTCACAGTAACCTTGTATAGGGTTTCTGAAGAGTAGCTAGTAGGTTTGAACTGCTGACCTTGTGCTTAGTAGTCCAGTGCTGACCCAACAGCACCACACATTGCTTCTCATATATGAGGGGACTTCAAAAAGGTAGTCGAAAAATGGAATTAAAAGAAACTGGAATTTCCCACAAACTCTTTGAAATACCCCTGTATTCCCAGACTAAGAGCTCAACCCAGAAGCCTTCAACCCAGACCTGCCAACAGGCACACAGATTCCAGAGGCTACCCCCGCCCCCACGCCCCCCCCCAAAAAAAAAGTGAATCCAAAGAAGTCACATACTGTATGAGTCTGATACCAGGAAGGGTTACAAAAGACTAGACAGCCATGAAAGGAGGTTTATTGGTGGTGGTGGTGGTTGTGTGACTGGAGTTGGTTCCAACTCACAGTGAACCTGTATAAGGTTTCTGAGGCCGTAAATCTTACAGGAGCAGAAAGCCTCATCTTTTTCCCATGGAACGGCCGCTGTTTCGACCTGCTGACCTTGAAGTTAGCAGCCCAACTCGTAAACCATTATGCTACCAGAGCTCTTTAAGGAGGTTTATTACAATGTGGAAATTATCTGTAAGGCAGACGTGTCACAGACAGCACAGCCTCCCCAAACTGTCTTTATAGCGAAAGGTTAGTGGGGGCAGTGCTTCGGCCAGGTTTCGGAAAAGGGGCAGGCCTTCCTGATCGCGCAGGTCCACTTTCCAGCGCAGCTTTCTTGTTTCTCTGTTCCTATACTGCGCATCCCTGTCATGTCCGTGATGGAACTTGTGCGGAGACCTTTACCCTGTATACAGAGGTGTCCTTGATATAAATGTCCACGCATGCACCTTCCTGTAAGAATCCTGGTTCAAGGCCCAGGTCTGATCTGATGACATCACATTGGGGTCATCAGCGATATTTTGAGACCCCCTAATATACATGATGGAGTCCTGGTGTGGCACTGTGGGTTAATGCGCCAGACTGCAAAGCCATTTGAACTTCAAGGTCAGCGGTTCAAGCTCACCAGCTGCTCCTCGGAAACCCTATACAGGGTCGCTATGGGTCGGCACCGACTCGACGGCACTTCACAACAACAACAATATACATGATTAAGGAGCTCTGGTAGCGTAGTGGTTATGAATCGGGCTGCTAACCTCAGGGTCAGCAGTTCGAAATTACCAGCTGCTCCACGGAAGAAAGATGAGGCTTTCTGCTCTGGTAAAGATTTACAGCCTCGGAAACCCTGTAGAGGGTCGCTATGAGTTGGTTCCAACTCCACGGCACATAACCACCACCTCTCTGAGTATAGGTCAGGTTCATTAAATTGTAGCAGTTTACCCTTGTTTCCTTTATGAAAAATAATTTTTTTTGTGTGTAATCTCTAGTTGAGTTCTGATTATCAAGCCATTGAGGCTAGGTCAAATGGGTATTATCTGCAAGTTTGGGTGTTCTTGTACATCTCCCCTCACTTCATAACAGCTGGATGCTTCACTCTTAGCTCTGGCC